GTTAAATTTGAACAGGGTCTTGGCCTCCCTGGTTCAAGCCTATCGCAATGTAAGCGTTTGCTAGAAACTAAGGAAGGGCCAATTTTATGAAGTTTATCTTGTTAAATAATCAAAAACATCAAGACAGAAGTCACTGATTTCTGTTTCCTGGTTTCGTTCCAGAGCCGGAAGGAGTGAGGAGCTTCTCCAAAGCTTGCAAAGTTAAGGAGAGCATCGTTCGGTCTTGATCAATTACTTGGACCCAATAGCCAGTGTAGCAACATCGAAGATACATTTCCAGGAATGTTTATAAGAAGATACTGCACTTACACTGTACATCCAGTCTAGCAACATCGGAAGTCTCATTTCCAAGGCTGTTGTTCGCCAGACATCGGTATTCTCCACTGTCTGTCCTGTTCACATTGGTTATTGTCAACAGCTTTTTGTCTTCTGAAAAACTGATACTGGAATTGTTACTTGTATTTACAGGAAATCCATTTCTGGTCCATGATATTGTCGGTTGTGGATTTCCCGTAGCGTTACAGGATAAAGTCACATTGTCTCCTTCTGATTTTGTTTGGTTTTCTGGATGAAGAGTGATCTCGGGTTGATCTGTAACAATACAACAATCCGCCTAAGAAATGTCAACATAACAATGTGCATGCCCGAAAAAACTGAAATGGGACGGCATGCTTCTCATGACATCTAAATTTGAATTCATAAATGGGCTCAATTCGATAAGCACTATACTTTGTCAAGTATTTCATGTTAGATCGGTTATGTGAGTTCATGAGTACGAATCAGCTCTAAGTTACGGGTTTACTGCAGCCACTGTCAAGACTATGCTTAATAGTCTCGTGATTCCTTTAAACCAACATTGATAATCAGACTTATTGTCCTTTCTGTGTAGGTTGGTAATAGTGCAACTGTTTGGTTTCGATTTATTAACCAAGATACTACACTTACATTGTACATCCACTGTAGCAGCATCGGATGTAGCGTTTCCAAGGCTGTTGTTTGCCACACATCGATAGTTACCATTATCTGTTCTTTTCACTTTCGTTATTGTCAACTGCTTCTTGTCTGCTGAAAAACTGATCCTGGAATTGATGGTTGTATTTACTTGAAATCCATCTGTGGTCCATGATATTGACGGTGCTGGATTTCCATCAACGTTACAAGATAAAGTCACGTTATCTCCTTCTGTTACAGCTGTATTTTGAGGATCAACAGTGATGTCAGGTGGATCTGTAAAAAAGCAGACAACTGTTGTAATAAGGGGACATTTCGAAATAACGCAAAAATATTTCGGGACTATACACAGCCTGCATTTACGTTGAAAGTAAATTTTTAAGTCATGAAATTACAGTGCGCCTACCGCTACCAAGGCTATCCTAGCAAATTATTTGCCAACTCATGAACAGCGCTTGAGTGTTCAACGATGAACATGACCACTAACTTGTCGCTTCTGCAGTGCACAGCTTACTTAGATGAATGAATTGTCGGAAGTGTAGTGTTAACATCCAAGGTTTTCATTGGTTAAATTTGAACAGGGTCTTGGCCTCCCTGGTTCAAGCCTATCGCAATGTAAGCGTTTGCTAGAAACTATGGAAGGGCCAATTTTATGAAGTTTATCTTGTTAA